CAATGTTAAGTTTCTTTTCTTGCACATCTTCTTTGTGGAACTTCCTTCCAGCTTCATGCTTTCCAGCCAACTTTAATTTCCAAAAATTTAAATGTAATGTCAATTGCTATCTACTGTCCTTCTGATTACTCTTTAGTAATGTTTCTGTCCACACCGAGTAACCTCTTTTGTCTTAGTAGCTTTACTGCCTTGCTTGGGGTGAACTTGAATAAAAAAAAACACTTGCTGCTAGTGTAATGGTTATTGTCATGTGAAATGGAATTGGTGAGTTGAGTTCAAATTCTGGTCTAATCTTTTGTATTCTCTTTCACACTTAACGTCCATGTATAGAGCAAAAATCTCTATGCCAAAATCTGGCAGCTTTCATGGTCCAGTTTGGAAATTCACTTGGCTGTTCCCATTGCAGCTCACTTCTGGAGGCAAACATGTGATATTTACTTTTCTTTGTTTATCAGTATAATTTTTAAAAGGAGTTGCGAGATTATGCAAATATCTGTTAAGCGGGTACATATCAAACAAAAAAGTTAAGAACTACTTGAATAAAAGAAACATGTGTGCATTGTCATGACATAATACCTGTTTGCATGGTACTCTTTTACCATGTAACTTTATTGCAGCATGTGTCATTGTCCTAATCTTGGACACAGATGGTGCACTGGTATGAATGATACCGTGTTATAATATGACTAAAGACTTTGAAAAAAGTATTTTCAAAGTCTTTAGTCATATTATAACTCATAGCATGCACATACAGTACTGAGGTCAAAATTGGTATGGCCCTTTAGGGTGTTGCAATTGTATTTACTGTTGGTGTATTTTCTTCATTAGATTAATATTTCCATCCTGTCACTAATAATTATATTAATTTTTGACTACTCACAATTCTTTTTTCATTATTTTCTTTGTCCTGGGTATGATGATAAACTACAGCAACAAGGCCTTTGATTGGAATAATGAAGCTTTTGAGGAACATGGAACCACCTTTTAATTGCTGTTGTCCCCAGGTCCAGCCTGACCTGGGGTTGTAGCATCTGTTAGGGTCCCAGCTATGGGCAAATAGTGAACCCCCAAATAAAAACAAAACACTATGAAAATATAAAAATACCAGCAATACAGTTTTATATAAAAAAAATTACCAACAATACATATTTATAGTAAAATGACCAACAAATAAATTTTATCTGTGGTTGAAGAAATACAATTACATTCAAAGTATATTTAATTGAAGGCATAAAATTGTGTTCAAAATATTTAGATTTTGGCATTAAATAAACCATAGTAGTTGATATGTTGCTAAATCAACTAACCAACCTTATTTTCTATGTATAACATATTGTGTGTCAAAACTTGCAAAATCAGATTTTAATTAAAATATTGCAAAGTTTGATGACTTATTAAATTTTCTTCCCTCTAACATTATAAATATTTAGTTTGTTAGTATAGAAATTGAATTAAGCTAAGAAAGAGAATAGTGGTTAAGTCAGTGGGCAGTAGTAAGCAAAACCCAAACCATTACCTATGGATACAAAGTTCAAATGTAATAAGCATTAAAATATAATCTTATTGGCTTCATATATTTTTTCTGTCAAAATTTTCTATCTGTATATGCAATCATTAGCATAAATAGATTTTGATGTATTTATTTATAACCTACCAATGATATCATAATGGATTATATAAACAGCTTGTCTTTAAGTAAAATGATTGAACTGATCTCTATCATAGTTCTATTCTATTTTTAAAAATTTTCAATTTTTGTGACTAAAATTAAAGATTTTATTTTCTAACAGATGTGAATGCTATCTGGGATTCATTGTCTTCCTTTGTGGAAAAGCAGATGCTCCTGCAGAAGGTAATTAACATTTTTATGCCTTCTTGAATCTTTTAAGAACTGTAGCATAAATTTCTTTTTTTTCACCTCTACTTGAAATATTGCAGAATTGTGTGTGTGTATGGCATTACTCTGTTTACTTTGACTGTTTCCACCGATGTATGAAAATCTGAGATTCTCATAATGTAAAGAAAACTTCAAAATAAACCCAAAATAGACTTAAGAAAAATCTTGGCCATCTTATAATGTGTTGCAATAAAGAAAATGGTCTGTAAGTAAACTGTAGTAATTCATTTGAATTTTTAAAACAGTGCTAACTGTACTTCTCTGGGTTGTGGAGTCTGGGTCACTAAAATCTGAGTTGATAAAACTTGATTGACTCTGACTCCAGTTTAATTTACACTTTATGTAAAAAGTCTTACATTATAGAATTTTTATTTTTATTGTTATTTCTGCTACTGTATATTTACTATTTCCTTTAAAGAAATTCATCTCAACTTCTTTTTTTAAAGTCACTTTATTTTTTTTGTAGTTGATTTGTATTTGCAAATCTTTATATGGGAAAAAATCTTTTTTATTCTATAATTTTTATTTTTTTAAATTTTTAAATTTTATTTATCCTGTAAAAGATTATATTTCAACTGTTTTAAAGTAGAAATCTTCATTTTTATTGTCATTTCTTCTATATCTTTTCAAAGATTTTGTCTCTAATTCTGTTAGATGAATATGAAGAATGAATAGGTATGATATAAAAGCCACAATATCTTTATTCTTTGATATAAGCCAGTTATAATGATATTGGCCTACTCAGGTTAGGTGTGTATGCATAGGCTTTATGAATTTGTAGGCCATAATCACTTAATTACATAAAGTGGAATCAGAGGTTTTATGTTCTGACTCCACAGCCCTGGTACTACTGATTCTAGTTTAAATAGAAGCAGTGGCAAATACAATTTACACATTTCAATGATGGGTCATCATTGTCAGTAGAGATGAAAGGAAATGGAATAAATTTCAACAAGGCAATATTATCATGTGTTTTTGTATAACAATTGAGGGATCAACATAGAGGAAATACATTAGTATGTAATAGTAATTAGAAGTCTTGTATGTCTGTATGTATGAGCAATACATGTGCATGTGCACTGCTGAGTTCAGTCATTCAGGGGAAAGATATCCTCATACTGGGAATGAATCTTGTGCTGATATTACTTCTACCACATGTTAGAAAGAGAAAAAGGAATAAACAGGGAGTGTCCTGGTTTTATAGTTGTTTAACTGTGCCACATAACAGTGTCTTGGTGAACCTGGCAAGGCCAAGTTGGGGTAACACACAACTGGAAGAAAGCTGAAAAAGTATGAGTCCATATTGCATGCTGAGGTGTTGTTACTGTAAGCATTTCTATTAGCTGAATTATGGAACCTGTACACCTCACCTCTACAAGTGAACTTTTCCAATTTAGCAAGGTTTTATAAATGAATCAGGTTTTGCTGTTTGGGAAGCATTTTGTTTTTTTGTATTGTCAGAGGAATCTATATTGGTTGTTGTTTAACAGTGGCAGCAGAGGACCTTCCTTAGGTGCAATGTGTAATGCATACCTGGGTAAATCATGTCTCTTTGATTCATTATTGACTTGACATTTCTAGGTTGCTGTTACTCTCTGTGGTAGACTGTTTACCAACCAAGGCTATAGGACCCAGGCTGTTTTACTATTTAACTCCTGGCTGGAGGGAGAAGACATGAATTTATACTTTTCTGTATTTAAGTGTATTTGTGCGTAAGTGAATGTAATGAACTCAACTGGAATTTGAATTTGGCTCTCTGATTTCTCGTTTGCTGCTAGAGTTAGAAGGATTTTATTTTGAGAATTCAAAATTATTTTTAACATTAGAATGTTGCACATTATATTATGGTGTTTTAATGTTGGAAATATACTTTTGCTGTTGTGGGTCATATTAGGTTTTGTCATTTTTGGTCATCCATACTTCAACTTTTTCCATGGCATGCCTATAAATTTAAATGAGCTTTCATCATATATGGGTAAAGGAAAGCAGACTCAATACTTATTTGACCATTGAAATGAGTTGGCAGGTAACAGACACTCACTTTAAATAAATCTATTCGTCTGTATATTTTATATAAAATATATATATATATATATATATATATATATATATATATATATATATATATATATATATATATATATAAAAGTAAGTATATTTCAAAATTCAGTTAATCATTAAAGTGTTTTCATTGAATCTTATCTATAATGGTTATTTTATTTTTTTAATTTTTTAATTAGTTTAAAATTTTAGCAATGCTGGCATAATCAAAGTGAATTTTGAATAACAAAATTGACATTTATAAAAAATGTAAAACCTTCAAGTGTATAAAACTAAATTTTACTTTTTTTATAATTAACTTTGTGCTATTTTCTTACACTTAAAACCAAAATTAAAACTTCAGAAAATATTTAAATTTTTGCAGTACTTAAATTTTTTTTTGACAAAACGTCTCTGACCATTTGCAATTTGTAATGTTTTTCATACACACCTAGATGAGATGAACATTATAAAAATGATACTATTTTTATGTGGACATATTTTAGGATTATGCATACAAAATATGTAAGGTGTAAGTGATCTACACTTCATCACATTGTATCTGCTAACTGCAGTTGGCAAACAATGTTGGGAAACTGTAATCTATCTCTTGCCAATGTGATTAATCTTCTCATGCTGTAACCAGACCATGTCTTGATGTTGTCTGACCATGTTGCATGCTGCCAATACTGTACTCTTTTTCTAATGATTTTAGTTATGAGCAACGGCAAAATTCCATCTCATCTGACCGAACAATGCTGCTCTTGCTCTTGCTATTGTTGGATAGAAAGATAATTGTAGATGACCAATTTCCTTTTCTGTACTGATTTTCTGTATGAAAATGACTTCCATAAGTTTATCATATTTCACCTTATCAAAAAGCCTTTTTATAATTGATGAAGCAGTGCTATAAGACTTTCTGTATTTGAATGCTTTACTCAAATATCATGCTCAAGGCGAAAATTGCTTTCCAAGTAGCAGTTTCCTTACAAAATCAAAACTGTATATCTGCAATCTCTGTATCAGTTTTTAGTTCTGTCTGCTTCATCACAATCTTTAGGTCTATGGCCACATCAAGTTGAAACACCAGTTCTTGTATGAGCATCAAAGTTAAGCAATATTGAGCGTGTTCAGTACTTAGATGGGTAACTGCTTGAGAATACCAAGTGCTGTAAGCTTGGATGTGTAGGTCATGTAATGGATCAACGCTTGGAATTGTTAATTGGAGAGCCGAGTTCCAATTCCAGTTGGGTTTGTTATATTCACTTATTTATGCAGAGATACCCTTGGGAAAGGTGTGAATCTACCTCTTCTCTCCCATCTATGGGTTAATTAGTAAGACTTGTATCACTAAGTCATTATTAGCTTAAAAAAATTCTTACAATCTAAAAATACTTTCTGGCTTTAAATAACCTGCAAAGGGTTTGATAAGCCATAAAAAAAAACAAATCAATCACAATTGTAGTGGTCACTACATTTTTTTGCATTCAGTTTCTTGATAGTGGGAATAAACATTGATTTCAAATAATGGTCACGCAGTGCTCTGGATTTGTAAATCTTGTTCAACATTTCCAGTAATTTTTGTTTCCCTGAAGGTCCATGTAATTTTAGCCTCTCAACAATGACATGGTCTTCACTAGCAGCTTTACTATTTCTCAGCTGGTTTATTGCAGCCTCTAGCTCTTCTAGCGATATTTCTAGTTCTACATTGACAATATCAGGTGTTGTGCCTTTATCATCATGAAACAGTTCTTCATGCTATTTGATTCTGTCAATGTCATAACTAATGGAGCTGTCCTATTCCGTTATTCTACCTGCTGATAAGTATCCATGTTTCACAATGAAAATGGATTTAATCTTCCAATGCTTTGGTAGATGTGCATGTTGTCTTTCCATTCATTCACTGTTCTTTCGCTTATTTACCCATTGTACATCCCAGTTCAAATCTGGGTTTCTGTTCTTTGCTTGTAACTGCTCTTCCATTGTCTCTTTAATGGCATTGGTAAACCAGGGAATTTGCACCTTTTGACTCTCTATGCTCATTATTGTTTCTATCACTTTTCTTAATATTTACTTAAAAGTTTCCCATTGCTGATTGATGCCCCCATCAAAGTCATCATTGTATTGTTCTCTAATAAACAGAACTGGTTCTTTGTTTTCACAGTGTATTGCTTTCTTTTCTGTTGATCTCTGTTGTACATTGCTTCCATATCTAGTGACTTTTTTCAAATCTGAACATTTCTTCTTGTGGTACAGTGCAAATTTAATAACAGTGTTATGATCGGAGTTGCAGTCATTAGCAGGAAAGGTCTTTGTCTTTACAGGAACATGCATTCTGTTTTGCAAATATATAGTGCCAGCAACATGAGCAGCATCTTTAAACTTGGAAAGCTCCAGATGCATGTTATTAGATCAATTACATTATATAACATGGAATCTCCTTTGTACCATAATGTAATTGATCTGATTATTTGAATCTGGAGCTTTTTAAGTGTAAAGACACTGCTCATGTTGCTGGCACTATGTGTTTGCATGACAGAATACATTTTCCTGTGCAAATTCTATCAATTGGTTTTCTCATTCATTTCTTTTTCCCAAAACTAAAAGGTCCAACTGCAGTTCCATCTTGATTTCTACTGACTATGGAATTCTAGTCTCCCATTAAAATCCATACACTGTTGTTATTTTTCTTTAATAGTTCATCTAGGCTATCATAGAATTTCTCCACTTCCTTGTCTGTATGTGTGGTTGTCCGCATGTACACTTGAACCACAACCAAATCAAAAGGCTTTGAGGATATTCTGGCCATAATTACTTGTTCAATGAAAATGCACAAGTTCTTTGTTATTGTCAATGACTAGAGCAAACCCATTTCTTCTTCATGCTGTTTATCATTCCCAGAATAAAGTAGTTGACAGTCATCAGGTCATCGTATTTTACTGTTGCTGATCCATCTCACTCTCTCAACATTCATACTCATCATATCTTTCACCACATTCTTCCTATTTTCTTATTTGATATAATGTTCTAACATTCCTATTTGATATAATGTTCTAACATTCCTATTTGATATAATGTTCTAACATTCCAAGTGGTCACAGTAGTACAACATTGGGTCTTTTGCCAGAGGACGATCTGAGTGGCCCCACATCCACTCCTGAACTTATGGATTTTGCCTTACCACTGTTGATGTTAAAATTTTTCATAATGTTTTCCATTTCATAGAATACTAGAGGCAAGTAGCAGAAGATGGGACCACACATTTTCTTCTGCCCTTTTAATCCAGGTATGGTCCTGTAGCATTTATTTAAACAAGAACTCTAAGCCATCAATACCATTTAACCTATAATTAAAACAATAGCATTTCAAATTCCAAACACAAGAACAACTCCTCTTTCAAAGCTCCAAAGAAACTTAAAAATGTTTGATAGCCTAAAGGATTTTTATTGCCATGTTTTTTTTTACTTTATATCCTGATTATTTTTAAAATAAATTTAAATAATCTTTCAATAACATTCTGATCAATAAATCCTAATATTTTTTTATCTTAAAAATATTGAGTATAGTTCCAAAAGGAAATCCTGCATGTTGCCATGCCTATGTTTAGTGTTTGTATCCATTATATTGCTACCACATCATTGGCTGATTAGAAATTTGCATGAAAGAGCATTCACATGTAAATACACATGACCAGTGAGTGTATTTAGTAATTTTTTGATGTGCATATACAGTAACATCAAATATTAGAGAATTAAAAAAAAATTCCATGTCTACAGATTGTGCTAAAAAAATGCAGTAAATGTTCTTAAAAACTTTTCTTACACTTTGGTAAATTTGCATTAAAAAAGAATCAAAAATAAGAAATTAGAGAACAAAAAACTGTTTATTTAAAAAAGTGTAGCATCCAAACATTGTCGAGCAAAGCTTTGAGCAAAGGAAAAAATGCAATAAAGCCCTTTGGCTTTTGTATAACATCCACCCTTGAAGAAAGTAAAATCAAAATAACTAATATTTATGAAACAATCTTTTCTAAAACACTGCCATGGATGGTCAAAAAGCCCAGAGTTAACCTCCAACTAAACAAGCTCCTCAAACAAAAGACTCATCACTTATCAAGATCAATTCCACAAAATTTGTGAGCAGCATCCTAAACATTTCTACTTTTTTACTGATGGTCCAAAAGATGTAAACAAAATAGCATGTGCAGCCATTTCTCACAAGAAAACTCTAAAGAAAGCTCTTCCAAGGAAAGCTCAATTTTTACGACAGAAGCCTGTATAATTGATCTAGCCCTTGACATAATTTATGACAACAGCTACAAAAATTCCAAACTAGAAGATCCCCAAATAATCAAACTGGACTCTGTCCAATACCAGAAAGATCACATTATGCTGCATCCTGAGCCATATCGGGGTAAAGGGTAACGAAAGAGCAGACTCAGCAGCCAAACTGGCTCTAGATTTAAAGCATGACAAGTTTGAGATCCTTTACACCAATCTGAAATCCTAAATCAACAGATTCCTCCATACAAAATGGCAGTTGCGCTGGAATAAAAATCATCCACAATAAACTTTTTTCTGTAAAACTTTCCTTGGGAGAGTGGAAACCGGCCTTTAGGAAAACTAGACACGAAGGGGTTACAATATCACAATTATGTATTGCTCACACCAAACTTACATACTCATTTATTGTCAAACAAGAACAACAACCTGCCAAACCCCAAAAAACAGGCCAATATGATAAATTTTTTTTAACCCTGATGCACAAAAATAACCAAACTGTTAAATGTTATATATATATGTGTGTGTGTGTGTGTATATATATATATATATATATATATATATGATAAACAGTTTGAAAAATCTTTAAATTTTAAAATTTGTAGGTGAAAATGGTCATTAACTAATGCTATCTTAATTCCAATTGGAAGAAAGATTTTGCTCTGTTTGATAAACAACATTGAATGCTCTTTGTGAGTCAGTTTTAACATTTAATATTTAATATTTCAAATTACTTCAGAACTTACACCCAAAAATTAAATTCATCCCAGAATATAATTTCAACAAATTACCATTTTTAGATATACTCATTAGAAATAAAAACAACCACATGATCACAGATAACTACCACAAACCTACAGACACCAACAATATCTTCATTTCAAGAGACATCACCTAAAAAGCTCCTGAAATCCATCCCCTATTCTCTAGCATGTAGGGTTTGTACAATAGTGACTGACAAACATCTCTGAAAAACCCACCTAGAAGAACTACATGAAACTCAAGGCTACCCAATAGCACTAATAAACAAAGGTTTTGAACTCACAAAAAATTCCTTTAGACCAGCTACAAAATCCAAAAAAATGTAATGTCAAACAAACTCTATCATATGTCTCAACATACAACAAAAACAATCCAGAACTATTTACAGAAATTACAAAAAATCTAGACCTACTTAGCAAAAATGACAAACTGAAAAATATACTAAAAACAACCAAAATAATTAAAAGCAAATATATTGAAAACAACCAAAATAATTAAAAGCAAATGCCAATCTAAAAACTTGAAACACATATTAACCTCATCCAAATTTAATCAACACACAATACAGAGAGCTACAAAAAAAGATGTGGGGTTTGTGACATCATTATAGAAGGAAACTCCTACACTTTTGAAAACCCCAAAATGACATTTATAATAAATAAAAAAACCTATCCAAGCGTATTAGCGCATAAGTGAATGTAATGTATTCAAATGGAATTCAAATTCTGTTCTCTGATTCCTGAATCCATGCCGCTATCTATTACTCCACTGTGAGGATCTTCTGTGGCTAGTGTCGATCAACTGATTCAGTGAAATAAGAAAATGCTGCAATGTATAAGAATATTCTAAATATCATCTGAGCTAATCTCTATGCAAGATAATGCCTCTTGTCATATGCCAAAAAATGAGAAAGCAATTCTTTGAAGTTGAAAATAGTGAAGTTATTTCCAAATCCTGATTTCAATTAAATTAAGAATATTTAGAATATCATTAGCAATATTGTTAAAGCAAAGAAACTGAAAACAGTGACTGATTTATGGCAGAAACTGCTGGAGAATTTGGACAAAGTTGTGCCTGGACAATATAACAAATTAGTGAAGTTCTGGAGATTTTAGTTGTGCAGTAGTAATTAAA